GTGCCATTATACATTCCCTCGTCCACCACCAAAATCATATGTTTTTATTCAATATGACCCCTTTCCCGACCCTTTCCGCTAATAAAACTAACCGAGTGCTCAAAGAATGATTCAGCTTATTTATTTAATAATTCAGGCACAGGAAATTCTATTTTTTGTTGAAGTGGTATATTTGCTGCATAGGAAATTATTTTTTTCAGTTAAAGAGGCTTTGAAGTACCCTTTGAATTTACCTCAAGTATTGGTTATATTTTAATTGCACAGGAATAGAATTGTCTGGCAGACCTTTATTTATCAGTCTAGCACAGTAATGGCGAACCTATGGCACAGGTGCCATAGGTGGCACGCCGGGCCCTTTCTGTGGGCATGTGGCCATAGGTTTGCCATCAATGCAGAGTAGGCACCTGTCTGCCCAAAACGGCAGGAGCCTACTCTGCTTCCGTGTCGGGAGGCAGGGGGAGGGGTCTGTGAAGCAGCTCCCTTGTCCTCCCGCGAGCAAGCTTTGTGGAGCATTGCTGAGGGTTACCATGGCAACGCTCCCCACAGCATCGCGCGGGAGGACAGGGGAGCTGCTTCACAGATCCCTCCCCCTGCCTCCCGACACGGAAGCAGTGCTTGCCACCATCGGATCACCAGGGATGGTTGTGTGTCCCCCCCCTCCTTCATTAAAGGTAAGAAGAAGGGAGGAGGGGGAGACTGATTTAGCATACTTTTTTTTTTAAACACCTTTACCCCAGCCCCACACACACAGCACCCCTACCCCCCACACAGAGTACCCCTACCACCCCCACACACAGTACCCCTACCCCTCCACACGCAGTTCCCCTGTACTCCCCCACACAGCACCCTCCTCCACACCCAGCTTCCCTCCCCTCCCCTACATCCAGCATCCCTCCCCACCACTACCCTCACACACACAGCAGCCCTACCGCCCACACACAGCACCCCAACCCCACCACACAGCAACCCCCCCACACAGCACCCCCACAACACACAGAGCACCCCTACCCCCACAGCACAGCACCCTTGCCCCCACCCAGCACTCCTACCCCCACACAGCACAGCACCCCTCTCTCACACACAGCACCCCTCATACACACACACAGCACCCGGGCTACACAAACACACATTGTGCACCCTCACGTATACACAAACACAGCACTCAAACACACACGCACTCTCACACACACACACAGTACCCTCACACACACACACACACACACAGTACCTCTCATACACACACACATCACCTCACACACACACACACACAGTATCCTCACACACACACACAGTATTCTCACACACACACACACACACACAGCATCCCTCACACACACACACAGCACCCCTCACACACATACAGCACCCATCATACACACACACAGCACCCCTCACACACACACAGCAACCCTCAGACACACACAGCAACCCTCACACACACAGCACCCCACACACAAACGCATACACTACTCTCCTCAATGCAGTATGTGTGTGTATTCAGCAGTCTGTGTGTGTGCGTGTATTCAGCAGCCTGTGTGTGTGTGTGCGTGTATTCAGCAGTCTGTGTGTGTGCGTGTATGTGTGTATTCAGCAGTCTGTGTGTGTTTGTACTCAGCAGTGTGTGTATTCAGCGGACTGTGTGTGTTCAGCAGTCTGTGTGTGTGTATTCAGCAGTCTGTGTGTGTGTACTCAGCAGTCTGTGTGTGTGTACTCAGCAGTCTGTCTGTATGTGTATTCAGCAGACTGTGTGTGTGTATTCATCAGTCTCTGTATTCAGCAGTCTTGTGTGTGTGTGTATTCAGCAGACTGTGTGTATGTATTCAGCAGTCTGTGTGTGTATGTATTGCATTTGTTGGAGATATTAATAAAAAATATAAGCTTCATTTTATCTATTTATATCATTATTTAAAATTTGTATCAATGAACTCTCTGTTGTTGTGTTCTTTTAAAACAAAAGTTGTTAATTAGTTCGGACAACAGTACGAGTTGTTTTTTCTAAACTTAAACCTCAGTATTGAGGTTTAATTGCCGTGTTGGCACTTTAAGGAAAATAAAGTTGGCATGTATTGCGGTTTGGGCACTCAGGCTCAAAAAGGTTTGTCATCACTGCTCTATAGGGTCTTTGGAACCCCCTCACCCTCATGGCCCCCTTCCCGCCGGGTTCTAGGCCGGGCTCCCTTGTCACTGGGGACTCTCCTCCTCCTTTCCCAAGAGCCGCACGCGCATTCAGTCAGTCCATAGGAAAGCATTCTAAATGCTTTCCTATGGACGCTGGCGTCTTCTCACTGTGAAAATCACAGTGAGAAGCGCGGAAGCGCCACTAGCAGCTGTCAATGAGACAGCCACTAGAGGCTGGATTAACCCATTTGTAAACATTCTCAGCTATGTTTACAGCAGAAAGGGTAATCCTAGATGGACCTGGCACCCAGGCCACTTCATTAAGCTGAAGTGGTCTGGGTGCCTATAGTGGTCCTTTAAACTTGCAATTCACTTTGAATTCTCATTTTAGTGAATAACTGAATGTTCATTTTCGAAGCCCAGTGGAGAGAGCACTGTTATTGTAGAAAGGGGAACACAAGAGAAATGTAATTATTCTCTATCACGGCTTCTTGGAATAGATCAGACATGGCGGGATTCCAGCTATAAATGAACACATATTATAAGACATAACATTAGAAGAACCGCCACAGTGATGCAATGATGGGTAATTTGATTAAAGGTATTTCCCACGTTAAATCCTTCCAATAATGAGGAGTTACATAATTCCCAATAGCAGCAGATTTATAGATCAGGTCTCGATAATGTATACACAAGAAGGGTCCAGACCGACTATGGAATCCCATAACATAGACAGTGATTATAAAGAGATTTATTGAGCAAAGCTTGTTAGATCCCCGTTATCTTAACATTAAGATCCACTTCTGCTGTCTTATAAATGTATATTTGTATGTAATATCAACATTCTAAGCTCTATAGCCACCATCTCTTAATACGATATAATTGTCATTATACATCATACAATCTATCTGTAGATTTACATTTTACATACACCGATGTGCATTAGCTGGGAGTTTCAGACCTGTGCACACTCTGTATACTATATTACCATTTGTCAGGACTCCAATGAGACCCAACACGCAGGATGTAATAGAAAAATGTAAAACAGACCTTAGAGTGGCCGGACTCTACGTTAGACAGCTAGAGAATAGTCAAGAACAAGCCAGGGTCGAGGGAGCCAGAAATCACAAAAACAAGGTATACAAGCTGAGTCAGGAAACCAGATATTGGGATAGTCGAGGTACGTGAGCCGAGTCAAAATAGGAGAATGGAGAGTAGTCAGGATTGCCAAAGTCAAAATACCAAATAGAACAACCAGATGTAAAGCACTATTGGGAACTAACAAAAAAGCCACGCCCCCAAAATGTTCGAATTCGGATGTTGTGGCGAGCCGTGACGTCATCGGCGTCATGACTTCGGCACGCAAGCCGCATCATAAAAGAGGGCGGAGCTACAGCTGCCGCCGTTGGAACCGCTGGAGTGGAGACTGGAAGCAGGAACACGGCCAGAAATGTAAGTGAGCATGACACCATTACTTCATACTTCTTTAACTTATTTCTGGATAGTTCACATTTCTTCACCGGTTGCAACTTTTGCACTGCAGGGAAACATAGAAACATAGAGTGTGACGGCAGAGAAGAACCATTCGGCCCATCTAGTCTGCCCAATTTTCTAAATACTTTCATTAGTTCCTGGCCTTATCTTATAGATAGCCTGGTTAACCTCTACCACTTCATCTGGAAGGCTATTCCATGCATCCACTACCCCAGGGATGTATTTACCACAAGGCAAACAAGGCATTTGCCTAGGGCGGCACTTTCTGGGGGGGCGTCAAAAAATGCCACCCCAAGCTCCCAGACAAATGCATTGTTTGTCTCATGTTCTGGGGCTGTCCACCTTACTGTGAGTGAGGGAGTGTAGTTGTCAGTGTGTGTCTGTGAGTGAGAATGAATGTGCCTGTGAGTGTGTGTCAGTGTGTATATGTCATTTTATGTGTATCTGAGAGTGTGTGCCTGTCAGTGAGTGGGTGTGTTAGTGTATGTCTGTCAGTGAAAGTGTGTGTTGGTTAAACAGTGTGTGCCAATGACTGTATGTGTGTGCCAATGACTGTGTATCTGTCAGTGAGTGTATATCAGTGCATGTTTCAATGAGGGCATGTGTCTGTCAGTCATAAAAATGGCCTTGACACGAATTGGGGGGGCAAATTTAGATTTTGGGGGTGCCCAAATTTAGTCATGCCTAGGGCAGCACAAATCCAAAATACACCACTGCACTACCCTCTCAGTAAATTAATACTTAATGATATTTTTAAACCGTTGTCCCTCTAATTTAAGCTTTTTTCTTCTTGTTGTGGTTGTTTTTCTTCTTTTAAATATAGTCTCCTCCTTTACTGTGTTGATTCCCTTTTTGTATTTAAATGTTTCTATCACATCTCCACATATATTATGCACCCTATCGTAATGTCTGTTTAGTAATGGTATATTTCTGTACTCTAATGTAACCTGTAAAGCGCTAAGAATGCCTATTAGAGCTATATAAATAAATTATTCATACACTGTATACCTACTGCACTTAGTGTACCTCCCTCTACTGTAATGTAACCTGTAAATTGCTGAGTACACCTGTTAGCGCTATATAAATAAAATATACATACACTGTATACCTACTGCACTTAATGTACCTCCCTCTACTGTAATGTAACCTTAAAGTGCTGAATACACCTGTTAGTGCTATATAAATAAAATATGCATACACTGTATACCTACTGCACTTAATGTACCTCCCTCTACTGTAATGTAACCTTAAAGTGCTGAATACACCTGTTAGTGCTATATAAATAAAATATATATACACTGTATACCTACTGCACTGTACCTCCCTCTACTGTAATGTAACCTGTAAATTGCTGAGTACACCTGTTAGCACTATATAAATAAAATATACATACACTGTATACCTACTGCACTGTACCTCCCTCTACTGTAATGTAACCTGTAAATTGCTGAGTACACCTGTTAGCACTATATAAATAAAATATACATACACTGTATACCTACTGCACTGTACCTCCCTCTACTGTAATGTAACCTTAAAGTGCTGAATACACCTGTTAGTGATATATAAATAAAATATACATACACTGTATACCTACTGCTCTTACTGTACCTCCCTCTGTACTATATAAATAAAATATACACAAGTAATCACGGCCTGGATCAGAGCTTAATTCATAGTTTAAATATGTATTTTAAAACAAAAAGACAAAGAAAGTATGAATTAAACTGTCAATCAACTGAATAAGAGAAGAGATGAAATAGAAAGTAGAATTTGGTTAATGCCCTGATGGTTTCTGAGGTTGGATGCTGACAGACAGGTTGGTTTTCAGGAGGCACTGGCTAATGAATCCATCCTGCTGGCCAGAAGATCAGACACAGCTTTAGCTTGTCATAAAAAATCCAAAATTCAGAAATCACTGCTCGAAGAAAGAAACAAAGTTATAACTGATCACAAGAAGCAAGGATTGTGTCAATCCTTTATTGATTATTAATGAATCTAAGTTTATTTTATAAACACATGTTCTCTAGATCAGAGGAAGGAGTCTACAGATATTCTGAGATAAGACAACAAGGTATATCCTATCACAAGCTGACATACTGGCAGGTCATTGATCTTTAATGGGTTAAATCCTATTCCAGATTGATCGGTCTGGGTTCATGTATTTTTGGTTTTAAAATCAAACACTTCTTTTTAATCTAGTTTTTAGTCTGTCCCCATAGCAACACCATAAGGTAGCCTGGGCTTTTTTTCGATTTCCCGAGGGAGCACTTTTCCTCCGATTAAGAATTCATTGAATAAACCGGGTTCCAGCCTGTCTCATGCCTTCATGAATTGTTCATTCCAGTCTGTATCTGTGATACCGTCATCACCCACCGTTTATAACCTGACAAATACAGACAACTATATGTGAAAGATTTATTGTGTTAAAATGGATTTGTTCAAACTGATTTACTGCATGAAAACTGGGCTTTAGAATCAGGTCTCAGGAGTTGCAGACACGGTGGCACTCAGGGGGTTAATCCCAAATCTTGGCACAGGGTGTCACCTGAATGATTGGTCCATGCAGACAGAGGATACTTTATACGCATTAACCTCAATACTGTCATGGCTTCCTTGTGACAAACATATTTACCAGGCCTCCCACCATAACCACTCACAGCTCTCCTGTCAGGAGTCAAGAATAGCCTTGGAAAAATAAATAAAACACTATTTACAAAAATCTGTTGCAATCCAACTAAATCATTTCATTAAGTGTTTTGTGGGAAAAAAAACCTATTTCTAAAATATTTACTGCCTAGGCTACAATCCTACCTATCAGAGTAACTACATGTAGTCACGTGACTAGTGTCTGCTCAGTAAAAGAGAAAGACAATTAATCATTCTTTAATGAAACAGCAATTAATTTATCAGTTATGTGTAACAAAGTATCGATAATTGTACTGTATATCTCTATTATATGTGTAATAATGTATCTATAATTGTTAGTGATGTCCCGAACGGTTCGCGAACGGTTCGCCACGGTTCGCCACGAACGGTTTGCCGCAGACTCCAGTCAGCAGACACATTCCAGCAAAAAACAAGTCCTGCACTTTTGGTTGACTGGCAAGATGCTGCTTGCAAAAATAGTGTTAACCCACCCTCCCAGACCCTTCCACCTCCTGGACAGCTCACTAAGAATGCAGCTTCAAAATGGATGCTGTCCAGGAGGTGGGAGGATCTGGGAGGGAGGGTCTGCTGCTGATTGGCTGGAATGTGTCTGCTGACTGGAGTCCGTAGCAAAATGTTCGTGGTGAACCGTGGCGAACCGTGGCGAACAGTTCGGCGAACCGTTCGGGACATCACTAATAATTGTACATTGTATTTCTATTATATGTGTAACAAAGTATTGATAATTGTACTGAATATCTGTATTATATGTGTAACAATGTATCTATAATTGTATGGTATATGTCTATTATATGTGTAACAATGTATCTATAATTTACTGTATATGTCTATTATATGTGTAACAATGTATCAATAATTGTACTGTATATGTATATTATGTGTATAATGTTGTAGCCATAACTATACTGTATATGTCTTTTATGTGTGTAATAATGTATCTATAATTGTACTGTGTGTCTCCTATTATGTGAGTAACAATGGTACTGTTATGTCTGTTATAGGGTAGGTGGGATCTTACCTTTAGTTTGGCCCAAACCTTTGTGATAGTGTGTTTTTTTTCAGAGAGCAGGGAACTCCTTGCCTTTTCTAGCTGAGTGGCAGTCTGGAGGGGTGAATGATTCAATCGATATCCATTTGTTAAAGAAACTGTCTTGTCGGTTCCGGATGACTGCTTGGGTGAAACGTGTTTGTTCTATTTAATGTGACATGGGTCTGTCAAATTAACAGGCAGAATGGCAAAGGATGTCTGCTTAAATAGATGGATGGCATCCTGACAAGATATTTTAATGTATTTTAACCGTTTCCCTTTCATGTACTGGTGTTGTTTACCTTGTTTAGGAAACACAATTATTCACTTTCTATTTTAAGCTCTTCGGTGTACATTTGGGGCTCTTTTGCAATGCTGTCAGTAAGTTTGACTGGCAAGACGCTGCTTGCAAAAATAGTGTTAACACTACTTGTTCACTTAGATAAACTCTAACCAATATAGACTGGTAACTTTCACCTGATGACACGTTTAACATCTCCCATAAAGAATATTAGGAGACAATAAGAGCTAGTTATCAACTTGTTTCAACAATTCATCTTAGAGTTAGATAAATACAATCACATTACTTACACTGATTGCTTCCTTTATTTAAAAATAAATAAATAAATTATTTAAAAATAAATAACAAATCTGGGTTCCCTCAAGACCCCAATTAAATCAGGCAGGTCTGGCAGGTGACCTCCTCTCTTTGTTCACCCCGTGTGCAGTGATGTGGAAGTGAGCAATGCCAGGTAAGGGCTTAACAAGAGTCTTCTACCCTTACCTTCAACTCATGAACTGTAGACTAAAGGGTTCAAGAAGCATTTGGAAGCCAGGAGATTTTTATAGTGGCTGTTAGGGAAGATAGGGACCTCAACAAATGAATGAAGTGTATAAAAAAACAAGTCCTGCACTTTGGTTAAAAAAAACAAAGAAAAGATTTACTTGTGCACTATCCCAAATCCCTATGCACAATTTAAATAACTGGAGGTTTTTGGTATCACTCCGGTCACTCGAGTGTAAGCTAATCTGCCGCATCAAGGCAAACGCGATTTACACTTAAGTGGCCACTGGAGTGATACTAAAACCCTCCAGTTACTTAAATATGCATAGGGATTTGGGATAGTGTGTATTATATGTATCATTGTATCATTGTATGTATCGGGGCTGATACTTTAGTCATTGCTGCTGCCCAGGAGTAGTGAGAGTTTGAGCGCAGGACTTATTTTTGTATGTTTGTATTTGCTTTTGTATTACACAGCTATGTTACAGTGCTGCCACCTATCCCATGTGTTCCCTGTTAAGGGTTTAAGGAACACTATAGTCACCTAAACAACTTTAGCTTAATGAAGCAGTTTTAGAGTATAGATCATGTCTCTCAGGTTTTACTGCTCAATTCACTGCCATTTAGGAGTTAAATCACTGTTTCTGTTTATGCAGCCCTTGTCACACCTCCCCTGGTTATGATTGACACAGTCTGCATGAACAAAAACTGGTTTCACTTTCAATCAGATGTAATTTACCTTAAACAATTGTATCTATTTCTCTGTAAATTTAACTTTAATCACATACAGCAGGCTCTTGCAGGGTCTAGCAAGCTATTAACATAGCAGGGGATAAGACAATCTAAATTAAAAAGAACTTGCAATAAAGGAAGGACAAACTTTAGATGACTCTTTACAGGAAGTGTTTAGGAAGGCTGTGCAAGTCACATGCAGGGAGGTGTGACTAGGGTTCATAAACAAAGTGATTTTACTCCTAAATTGCAGAGAACTGAGCAGTGAGGCTGGAGGGGCATGTTCCATACTCCAAAACTGCTTCATTAATCTAAAGTTGTTTTTGTGACTATAGTGTCCCTTTAATAAGTGTGTAGGGGTTTGGAAAAATACTCCTTTCTGTCTCATAAGATATTTTTTTTCCGTGAATCTGAAAGGCGCAAGGTGATTTGTTAGCGTAGCACTTACCTTAGAGGCTTTCCGTGACGTGGCAGGTGAGCTTACACTTAAGTGGCCATTGGACCTCCAGTTATTTA